TCCCACAGTTGTAAATGATAAGTAGATTTATTGTAATAAAAGGTTATAAAATTGGTGGAAGAACAAACTGAATTATATATAACACACGTAACGGTCGCAACGTCTAGCTCTCTCGGCCGCTGAACTCAATAATAATGAAAACTCTTAATATCCGTCACTCGCGTCGCATCGCTCGCATGTGTTCTCAACGCCCTCTCTCGCCTCATCCTTGCTGCGCTATCTAGTATCTAGTTACTCCCTATTATATTCCCTACCTCTTTCCCACATTCGGCCATCCTACTTAATCATCGGCCTCGATGATAGCAGACCAAGGCTTTATGTATTCGGCGCAAGTGCTTGTCGAAGCAGGACCTTCTCCAGGTTCCATTCTCTTTACATCGTAGGTGTCGTTTAACTTGACGTTACATATTTTGTAAGGGCCGAGATATTTCGCACGCAGTTTTCGACCTGGTCCTAACTGGACACGCTTAATTGCTACTAAATCACCTAACTTATACTTCGCAGCTTTTCTACGCCTAAGATTGTAGGTACGACGATTTTCTTTCTGAGTCTTTAAAATTTGTTCTTTTGCTTTGGTTTGTGTACTATCACGTTTTTCTTCGAATTGTCCTTGAAATTCTTTTTCTAACAGTTCTCTAAGATTTGCTTCTTTTTGCCGCATTTTAGTACCAATGAGTAACTCGAAAGGAGTTGTACCGATACTGCGCTGATACGTCGAGTTGAGAGTTTGTTGCAGTAATGGCACATGCTTATACCATTTGGTTGGATCATCCAAAGACAATTTTGTTAGCACAGGAATGATCGTACGATTAATTCGTTCAATTTGTCCGTTGGCTCGCGGTAAACCGGTAGTAATCATGGTATGCTTTATTCCTTCCTGCTTACAATATTCAGAAAATTCTAATGAAGAAAAAGCGGTTCCGCGATCTGAAATTATTATGGCAGGATTACCGAAAATTTGCTTTTGCAATTCCAGCTTACAAATTACCTCTTTCGTAGTCGTTGACTTAACGGGATATAACCAGACGAATTTAGTAAAGCTATCAATTATAGCAAAAATATGATTATAATTTTTATGAGTAGATTCTAGTGGTCCCAAATGGTCTACATGATAAGTGTACAAAGGTAGATCTACTTTCTCTAACGGGTTCAAAAAGCCTTCTTGCTTACCCTCCTTCTTGTTTGCCAGTATACAATGAATACAATTAGCAATAAACTTTTCGACTTTCTCTTTTAACTTGGGAATATAATAATCGTTTCTCAAGTTTTCTTCAGTGCGTTTTACAGAAAAATGCCCTTTGTTGTGTGCCATCTGAATCACTTCATTGTACATAGATTTTGGTACGACCAACAATTCTTGACCATCTTGATACTTATACAGAATGCTATTTCGTAAAAGATAATCTTCATAAGCTCTATGTTTAAGTATCTCTACAATGACTTTCAGCTCTGGGTCATTCTTCTGTGCCTTCTTAACTTTTATGATTACGCTATTTTCGACTATACTCATTACGGGATATCGGCTTAGTGCATCGACATGTCGCATTCGAGAACCAGAACGGTGTTCAATTACTTTATCATATTCCTCGAGCGTCATAGCCCATCGAGCTATTTTGGGACATAATTTTGTTTTATCCATCGTTTGCTTAAGAGCAGCGCAATCTGTAACTATTTTAAATTTTATCCCTAGCAGATAATGACGGAATTTTTCCAAAGCACGAACAACGGCTAAAGCTTCCAATTCGTAACTGGTATAATTACGCTCGGCAACATTCGTTTTACGACTAAAATAATACACCGGATGTAACTTATTATCATTAGTATCCCTTTGCAGAAGAACAGCACCAAATCCATCACGACATGCATCGGTGTGTAGCTCTGTCTCCAATGTCGGATTGAATATTCTTAGAACAGGATCTTTACTTAATAATTCCTTTAATTTCCGAAAAGCCTCTTTCTCTGCAACACCGAAACTAAAGGGCTTGTTCTTCTGCAAAAGATCACTGAGAGCTTTTGCTATAACACTATAGAACTCCATAAACTTACGGAAATACCCCGTTAATCCTAAAAATATTTGTACATCTTTTACATTACGTGGCTCCGGAAAGTTCATCACAGCCGCTAACTTATCGGGAGATGGATACACCTGACCAGCTTCAATCACGTAGCCCAGAAATGTAATACAAGTCTTCATAAATTGACATTTCTTTTTGTTTATCTCTAGTCCATAGTCACTAGCAATCTGTAATACTGATTTCAGTCGTTCGACACCCTGCTTTACATCAGATGAAACAATGATTAAATCATCCAAATACAGTAAGACTACCTTATCATTAATTAAAGGTCTAAAAATATGGTTAATAAACCTTTGAAAGACTGGAGGTGAATTGCACAACCCGAATGGTACTTTTAAAAATTGATATTGCCCGTGATGTGTGATAAACGAAGTGTATTTTCTACTTTCTTCCGAGACAGAGACATGGAAGAATCCATTTTTCAAATCGATAGTACTGAATACACGAGCTTCAGCCAGCTGATCAATTTGATCTTCGATAAGTGGTAATGGAAATCTGTCTTTAACAATAACTTTATTAATTTTACGATAATCAACGCATACTCGTGGGGAACCATCTTTTTTTTTAACAATAAGTACTGAGCTTGCAAATTCAGAAGAACAAGGTTCTGCAATTCCCTCTTTAACCCATTCATCTACTACTTTTTCAATAGTTTCTTTTTCTCGAGCTGAAGTTCTATAAGGTCTTTGATAAATAGGACTTTCATCTTTAAGCATTATTGACAACTTTATATTAGTACTCTTACACTTCTTTGGCTCATATGATGTGATTAAATTTTCGATTGTCTCTTTGACTTTTTTATCGGTAACAAAATTTGTGCTTACGTTTGTATCTTCAATTAAATTAATTTGTGCCAGAAATACTTTCTGGTCAACCTTGTTGATCAAAATACCATCTTTTGTAATGTTAATTTCAGCTTGATTTAAGAAATCTATCCCTACAATGGCGGATATTTCCATTGCATTACAAGGTACAATATGAAAAGTTAAAGGATAATCATCGTTGTCAATAGTAATTA